GGGGTGGTCTCTCAGCTCGGCCGCTATCCACGACACTGGCGCAAAGCCTAGCAGGCGTGGCACTTTCTCGACACCACAGGGGGCGCAGGGGGTGGTCTCTCAGCTCGGCCGCTATCCACGACACTGGCGCAAAGGCTAGCAGGCGTGGCACTTTCTCGACACCACAGGGGGTGCGCAGGGGGTGGTCTCTCAGCTCGGCCGCTATCCACGACACTGGCGCAAAGCCTAGCAGGGAACATTCGCGACGAGGGCCCAGAACGCAGGATTGTGCATGTATATCTATATACATAAGCAAACACATAATATTTAAATTAAGTATGTGGGGTTCCTCGGTAACGTAATGTTTATTATTGTTATTATTATTATCATCATTATTATTAGTATTATTATTTTTATTTATTTATTTATTTATTATTATTATTATTATTATTATTATTAGTAGTAGTAGTAGTAGTAGTAGTAGTAGTAGTAGTAGTAGTAGTAGTAGTAGTAGTAGTATGTTTAGTATTACTAGTATTATTTTTATGATTATCATGATTATTGTGTTTTTAATTGGACTCGGAGGACACGACCTAAATCTTGTCCCGATCTTGGTTGCGTCGTCAGGGGCCGCCCCGCTGCGGGCGTCAGCTGTCTGCTGTCGGCAGCTCGGTGCCGTCCTGCTGCCACGGGAGGCGGCTCGGGCGCGGGCGCTCGAGGCTGAGGCCCCCTTGCGGCCTCGGTGCGGCTGCTGACCGAAGACAACGCAATCCATATCAACTGTTGGCGCTCCGCGCGGATTGCTTGGATCCGCGCTGGGGCCCCCCGGTGGCGCCCCTGGCGCCACCCCTGGCGCACTCCGCGCGCCAGGAAGGGATATCCGGCGTAGACCCAAGAAATCCCCGCGGAGCACCAAACAATTATGTTCATGGCGTTTTTTTTTTCAAAGAAAAAAATAGGTGAGCAAAATCCTGCTCGGCGGCGAGCCCATGAGGGAAGCGAGAGGGGACAGGCCTTCTCAGGAAGCGGTGGGCGAGGCCTCGAAGCCCTCTGACCTTTCGAGGGGCTCTCTCTGGCCTCGGAGAAGGCTCACGGAGTGTCTCAGAAGGCCAGAGGGCTCTCGGAAACCCCGCCGTTTTCTCAGGAGGCCCGCTCGAGACTTCCCTCAAGGTATGGTGATGATAAGCGATGATGAGGAGGAGGAGGAGGAGGAGGAGGAGGAGGAGGAGGAGGAGGAGGATGCCGTAGCGCGTTTCTTGATGTTCGGCGATGACGGGCGTCATGGGGGGAGTTGGGAGGGCGGGGGGGGTATGACGTAATGCCCCCCCCCCCCGCCGTGTGGCTCCGGCACCACAGTCGCGCCCGCGCGCACGACGCGACGAGCGACTAGCGACGACGATGACGACGACGACGCGAGCAGCATGTAGGTGGCGATCTGCCCCACTGCGCCTGTGCACACCACAACGCTCGCGTGCACCACAGCGCGCGTGTACACAGCGCCTGCGTACACCGCAACAGCCGTGTGCAACGCACCGCCTGTGTACACCACAATGCTTGGGAACACTACAGCGCCGGTGTACACACACACACACACACCGCAGCAACCATGTGCAACACAACGCCTGTGTACACCACAGTGCTTGCGTGCACCACAGCGCCTGTGCACGCCACAGCGCCTGTCTACACCACAGCATCCGCGTGCAACGCAGCGCTGGTGTAGACCACAGCGCCTGCGTGCATAGGACAGGTAGAAGGAGCATGTGCGTGAAGATCTGCTGCGGACAACTAGACGCCACGCCAGGAAAGTTCTGATAAGCGACTGCGACTTTCTTCCTTCCTCCCTCCTCCACCTCCTCCTCCGCCTCCTCCTCCTCCTTACCCCCTGTCGTGCGGCTTGGTGCTACAGCGCACGTGCGCATCTCAGCGTGCACCGCAGAATGGTCGATTGAATCGGTCCACTTGGTTCTCGGACGGCCAATTTAGCTGGAGCCTCCTGGACGCAAGTGGGAGGAGTTAGGGTGATGCGGGCGGATTCAGGAGGACTCGTAGATTCCAGCGGCGCTCTTTGTCCAAAAATAATCCTTTTCCATTGTTTTCTCTGGAATCCACAAGCGCTCCATTTTATCACAAGGATTCCTTCAAACATTCTATACACAACAGTGGTGCTGTGTTGCGCACGGCTGGTGTGGTGCACACAGGCACCGTGGCGCACACAGGCACTGCAATGCACGCAGGTATTGTGGTGTACACTGGTGCCGTGTTGTACACGACTGATGTGGTGTACGCAGGCGCTGTGGTGTACACAGGAGCTGTTGTGCCCGCAGGCACGGTGGCGTAAAGTGACGCTGTGTTGCACGCGGCTGCTGTGGTGTACATGGGCGGCGTGGTGTACACAGGCGCTGTGGTGCACGCGAGCACTGTGATGTACACAGGCGTTGTGGTGCAGATCGCCACCTACATGCTAGCGCTACCCGCCCTCCATCATTCCTAAGCATTCCCAAACGCCGCCAGCGCGAAAAGTGACGTCATCGACCCCCCCCTCCAGAGGATTGCCGTCGTCGGCCCGGACATAAAAAACAGGCTCCAGCCGCGTCCGCGCGCACGACGACGAGGAGCGGCGATCGACGAGCCACGAGCGACGACGACGATGACGACGACGACGACGACGACCACCACCACGACGACGACGACGACGACGACGACGACGACGACGACGACGATTGCGGACCAGACGCGTAGTCGGATTCCTATGCGGACACCCACGCGGATCCCAATGCGCACGGCGGCAGTGCCCGGAGCGCACTGGGGGGGGGGGCGTTACGTCATGGGGGGGTGGGGGGGGGCGGGGGCCATGACGCCCGTCATGCCCCAAGCAATAAGGAAACGGGCTCCTGATGTTGATGCGGATGTTGGTAAAGATAAAGATGGTGATGATGATGATGATGATGATGATGATGATGATGGTGGTGGTGGTGGTGATCATGATGATGATGATTATGAGGATGGTGATGAGGATGATGGTGGTGGTGATGATAAGGATGAGCTTGATGATGCTGAGGATGAGACTGATTAGGGTGGTGGTGGTGGTGATCATGACGATGAGGATGACGATGATTGTGATGATGGCGGTGGTGATCATGATAATGTGGATGATGAGGACGGTGATGATGATGGTGTTGGTGGTGGCGATGATGACGATTATGATGAGGACGATGGGGATAAGGACGAGGATGATGAGGATGAGGATGTGGATGATGATGATGGTGGTTGTGGTGGTGAAGAGGATGATGATGCTGACGATGATGATGAGGAGGATGGTGATGAGGACGGCAATGATGATGAATATGATCATTATGAGTGAGCGTGTGAGTGCGAGCGAGTGCGAGTGAATGCGTGATTGTGTGAGACGTTGATGATGATGACGATGAGGAGGGTGATAAGGATATATGTGATGGTGGTGTTGGTGATGATGAGGTTGTTGGTGTTGATGGTCGATGATGTTGGTGATGGTGATGATGATGAGGATCGTGATGATGATGATTGTGATGTTGTTGTTGATGATGCGGATGATGATGATGGTCACGATGATGCTAATGACCATGGTGATGATACTAATGGTACCGATGATGATGCTGATGCGGATGATGAGGATGTTGATGATGGTAAGTGGTGGCATTGATGAGGATACTGATGGTGACGATGATGATGATGGTGGTGGTGATGATGATACTGACGACGCCAATGATTATAATGGTGGTGACGGTGGTGATGATTATGATTATGATGATGATGATGATGATGATTATGATGGTGATGGTGCTCATGATGATGATCAGGATGATAATGGCGAGGCTGATGATGAGGAAGAAGAAAAGGGGGAGGAGGGGGAGGAGGAGGAGGATGATGATGCTGATGATGATGACGATGCTGATGATGATGACGGTGATGATGATGATCTTGATGACTTTGATGATGATGATGATGATGATGATGATGTTGATGATGATGATGGTGATGGTGATGATGATGGTGCTGGTGATGATGATGATGATGATGATGATGCTGATGATGATGATGATGATGATGATGGTGTGGTGGTGTTGGTGGTGGGCTCTTGCTCCTGCTCGGGATGCGGGGATTACTGCGTGAGCATTAACTTTCGGCGCTCCGCGCGGATTTCTCGGCGCTGGCCCCCCCCCCCCCCATGGCGGCGCTTCCGGCGCCGCCCCTGGTGCACCCCGCGCGCCAGGGAACGGGGGGGATCCAGCACCGCTCCCAGAGATCCGCGCGGACCTTCAAAAGCTGATGTTTCTGCAGTTGTTTGTTCCTCTACTCCCTGGTCAGGGCCTCCCGCCCCCCCAACCTGTAATTCGAGGTTCGCCGGACAACGGAGAATCGAGAATCGAGAAGGCTGTGGACATCCTTGGGCGTCTTTGGGAACCCCGGGGGCAGGAAAGCGCTGACCAGAGCAAGGTGGAAAGACGATCAGGCCAAGGAGGAGGGAAACGCGTACCGTGGGGTGCGGCAGGCCCTGTTTCAGGATCCACCGTATTCGGGTTGATTCTCCCATGGCGGAAATGACCGTTCCATTGAAGAATCGTCGAGGATGGAAGGACCCCTAATCTTAATAACATAGCGAAGACAGTGTCCCCGTCTTTGCATTCGGGATAATTGATCTGGGCGGCTTGGTTTGGTACATCTTTAGAAAAGACCCTCTTAGCTTAGGTCCCCTCCCAAAGGATTAGGGGTGCTTTCGTCGGCGGCAAGCGAGGCAGGGAAATGAGAAGGAGAAGGCCTTCTCAGAAGGAGGCCAGGCTTCTCAGAAACCCTCGCGCCTTCTGAGAAGTCGTTTCTGTCTTCAGGGAAGGCTCAGGGTACTCAGACGCCCGGGGAACTTCCGAGCCTGCTGAGAAGGCCCGCCCTTTCTCACTTCCCGCCCTCGTTCGCCGCCGATTATGTTGCTTATCAGGGTGGATCTGGAGTGGCGGGGGCCACGGCAGGAGACGCCCCGGGCGCCCCAGGCGGACAGCCGAAAATTACAGCAGCATGCTCCAGGACGTGCTCAGGGGCCGGCGCGCCGCCCTCCCCCCCCCGGCTGGCGGGGGGAGGAGGAGGAGGAGGAGGAGGAGGAGGAGGAGGAGGAGGAGGAGGAGGAGGAGGAGGAGGAGGAGAGAGGAGAGGAGGAGGAGGAGCGGAGGAGCGAGGAGGAGCGAGGAGGAGCGAGGAGGAGCGAGGAGGAGCGAGGAGCGAGGAGCGAGGAGGAGGAGGAGGAGCAAGGAGGAGAAAGGAGGAGCAAGGAGGAACAAAGGGGAGGAGGAAGGAGGAGGGTTGAAGGAGGAAGGGGGAGGGAGGAATGAGGAGGGAGGAAGGAGAAGGGAGGAAGGAACAGGGAGGAGGGGCAGGAGGGAGGAGGAGGAGGACGAAGAGGATGCAGAGTAGGAAGGAGCATAAGGGAAGAGGATGCTGATAAAGACGAGGAGGATGAGGCTCGCCCTGTTCCCTGACCCTCGGCCCTGGGTCCTCTTTTGTCTCTCTCCCTGTTGTAAAAGTCACTGGTCATGCCCGTAGGCACCAGGATGGTGATTTGGAGCGTGGCGGTAATAACAGGAGGGGAAACACACAGATGTACACAATCACTCGTCGATCCCCCGAACATGTAGGAAAATATAGGAAGTGGGGGGGAAGACGAACATCCAGAATATTAGAAAAGATGGGGAATCGTGGGATGTGTGTGTCTCTTTATTTGTGTGTCTCAGGGTCCCTTCACGATAACATGTTGGGTAATCACCCTGCTGACCTATAGGGGCCTGTGCGGGCGCTACGCTGCACCTGTGCGGAACCTGAAGGTCAGATGCACGAGGACGCCGCTCCTTGAAGCTGGCCTCCTTCACCGCCCAAGTCCTGGCCAGGACCCTCCAGGGAGGAGGAGGAGGAGGAGGAGGAGGAGGAGGAGGACGAGGACGACGACGAGGACGAGGAGAAGGACAAGTAAGAGAAGGAGCAGGAGGAAGAGGAGGAGCAGGAGGAGGAGGAGGAGGAGGAGGAGCCTTCAGCCCTACAATGGAAACCCATGCCAAGAAACACCCTTCTTGCCTCCAGGGTGCCGTGGGTTCTTGGGTTTCGATGGTTCTGCTTTGGAGAGTGCTGTTTCTCACTAGAAATCAGTGGACGTTTTGGGGTCTCAGGATTGGGTTTTTCGTGGAAGGTTTCTTGCAGTCGGGCTCCCACCGTACGTAAGAAGACTCGCCCCCGTCATTCCCAACTTCCTGGTCGCCAGGCAACGCGGGTGGAACCCCAGGCTCACGGCCGATGCCGAGCCGCCTCCTGGAGCCCACGATCTTCTGCCGATGCTGAGGGAAGAAGTGCGCTGACCCTGACCAAGATGTCGAGGGATCTTGTCGACGCCGACCTTGGTTAGTCCATGCCGGCCGTCGTCGATTCGGGAGGATGATCCACGAATCGACGGTGGGATCGGCACCGATGTCTCCGCGTTCAGTCTTAGTCATGGTCCTTGTTTTCTTTCCTCCACGATGGCTAGTCGTCCTCGTCGTGCTCGGTGCAGTTGACCAGCCCGTGCCTGTTGCGCCGTCGTTCTTGCTGCGTGTCCCCCTTGGGGAGGGCACTGCAGGCCTCGGAGCAAATCAGCGAACTCTCATGCCATGTGCATCTGCGGATGTCCCCCCCTCTCCCCCCGTGACCAAAGCTGGCGGTGGCTCTGAGGAGTTGCAGCTCGACCGCGGTCTTCCCGCGCGTGCCAGCTCTGAATTTGCGGGGAGGGGGGGGGTCCGTGAGAGTCGTTTTCCTTCGGACAGTGTGTCTGGGGTGCGGGTCCTCTTGTCTTGGGTGCCGGCTGCAGGGCCCTCTCGGGAGGAATTGCCCAGCTGCCGTCACCGGCCTTGCCGGTGCGGAGTGGTTCTCGAGAGGCCCGCCCCCGGCTCGGGAGGCTGCGGGCGGGCCTGGGCCTTTTGGACCAGGCGGCGTGTGCAGCCACACTGGCGAGGTCAGCGGATGCTTGGGCCCTTTGACGAGGTCGTCTTTCCCAGAGATCCAACGCATTGAAAAATCAAGACGGAGGTTTTTCGCAGTTTTCGGCATCCAGGGGTCCTCGCCGGGCCCCGGGACCGTCAAAAACGACTCAGGATGAAAACCGGTCCTGGGGAAAGGGTCGAGGCTTCCAGGGACCCCGTATTGAAAAAATCACGACGTCGGATCTCCGGGTTGACGCTAAGTTTGGCGATCGTGCAAAGTTGGCCCCAGAGTTATAAAAGGGACATTATGGTTATATATTGCTATGGACATTCTGATTGGCACTTCGCTACCACACCAGCGTGGGACGACCTGCAGGGCGCATACCTTGAGCAGTGACGCTGCCGCTTGACATGCCTTCCCCTCCCCCTCCTCCTCCTCCGACGCCTCACATGCATAGTTTTCCAATGCGAATTTTCTGCGAATGTCTTCCACTGCAGGCGCCTCGGCGCCCCCTCCGCCGCGCCTTCACGGCGCCACACGCGCGGAGCCGAGTCCGAGTCCGAGAGTCCGAGGACCCCCTCGCCCGCTCTGAGCGGGGGGAACAGCGCTCCTGGCGGCGAGAGATTGATCATCCTCGATCCCGGCGGCTGGGACGGCTGCAGCGTTTCAGTTTCGCTGCCTTCTACTATTCGCGCGATGTGGAGACATGTGCCTCCAGCCATCTTGGGCCGCTCAAGCATGGAGTATTCTTCGCCCAAGAAGCTTTTTATAGTTCCTAACTCTTGAACCCGCAGCAGGCTGCCTGTCCCTGCATTGTGCTGTGACTCCTGGGAGGTGCGCCCTGGTCCGTCCGCGCCGCCAGCCTCGCTCACCAGCTCCCGGCCACACCTGGATCAAGCTCCTGCCCGCCCTCGGCCTCCTGCCCCCTCGGATGCACGAGGTTCCTCTTCTGATTGCGAACAGCACGATGGTGCCCTTTCAGGGGGTCCAGGTCCGCTGCGACAGCCGTCGGCGGACTGAGAAAACCACCGCAATGGGAGGGGATGGGTGGGGGGATGCAGGATGGATGTCACGTCTGGCGCGGGCGCACCTGACTTGTCCCATCTTCTGCGTCCTCTCTCCACTATCCCTACCTCCTCGTCCTCCTCGTCCCCTCCTGAGATCCGACGTTACGAAAAACACATTTCAAAAATCACGACTGGAGCCCTCGACCCAATCTGTCTGAGGCGTTTTTCGAGCCAGATCGATCTGCGTTCGTCCCGAAAACGGGCGAATTCGCCCGGTGTGAAACAAATGCATCGTTTGGATCTCGGGTTCTTTGCCTCATCCCTGCCTCGTCCTCTCCTCAGGAAGGGAAAACACACAGACACAGAGAATTGTCGATTCCCAGGCTACGCTACGCTACTCCCGATCGGCACGAAAGCCGTGCCCTGATACAAGCTGCGGGGAAGACGGAAAGGTAAGGTAGACAACTCGCATTAACGTGGCAGTGACAGGCCATCAATCTTTCGATTGTGCCAAATTGACGAGGATGTTCTCCCGACGTCGATTGCGCACCTCTCCAGGCGGCAATCGGGTCCTTGAGCAAAGCAGCGTTGCGGCGGCCCTTCATGCAGCAGCCGGTCTCCTCCCATGATTCGTCGTCCATGCGCACCCAGCCGACCACGCCCCGCGTCATCTTTCGTTGAAGCGCATCAAGTTTTTCCAGATGGCATGACGTCAACGGCGTTGTTGGCAAGCTGTACATAATCGTTGGTGATATAACGGCATCGAACAGAGTGAGCCACAAGCGCATTGGGACCTTGTTCTTCAGCGTCGACTGCAAGAAATGGTATTTTCGGGGAAACGTAAGACTCGAGTAAGTCAGAACTCGTGTTTGCCGATTTTTTTTGACGAGCGTGTCCTAGATTTGACGCTCCCGTTTTCGTGGGATGTCTGCAGCGGGAGCCCGCCTCAAATTTCAGATCGGGTCTCGTCATTTTTATGATGGCCCCCGTCAGGCCAACCCGAGTCCTCTGTACCCGAGTCTTACGTCTCCTCGACATTTCAGCCACGCGCAGAAGATCCCGTGAGCCAAGTTGGTCGGCCCCCTCTGCTTCACGTCGCCCAGGAGCAGCCTGTCCAGGTTCCTACGCGAAGCATGCTTGCGGACCACTTCGGCCATGGACCCTGCGACTCCCACCATGCACGGCGTCTCGCTGTCTTCGGGCCGGACGAAAGGGGGGATAGGGAAAGGGGGGGTACGAAATTCTAGACACATACAGAAACGATGTTCAGGCGAGTTGAGAGGTGATCAGGGAAGTGCGGGAGCAAAGAGGGGGACGGCCGAACTGTGTGAAGGAGAGAGGGGGCGAAGGAGAAAATTGGATGGATGGATGAGGGAGTAGGGAGAAGGAGGATGAATAGGATGAGGAGGAGGAGGAGGTGGAGGGGGAGGAGGAGGAGGAGGAGGCGGAGGGGGAGGAGGAGGATGAGAAGGGATAGGAGGAGGAAGGAGGAGGAGGAGAGCAAGCAAACGGGCCAGAGGTCTCTTGGATGCTTCTCGGAGCCTCTTGGGGTATCTCTTGGGCGTCTTGGGACGTCTTGGGGGTCTCTTGGCGGTCGTGGGGGGCTCTTCGGCGTCTTGGGTGCCTCGGGTGGGCCTCTTGGGGCCGCTTGGGATCCTTTTGGGGGCCTCCTGGGGGCCTCTTGGGGGCCTCTTGGGGCCATCTTGGGGCCATCTTGGGACCTCTTGGGGCCTCCTGGGCGCTTCTTGGGGCCATCTTGGAGGAGATCGATCAAACAAGAGGGAAGCTTTCATTAGCGTCCCCCCCAAAGAGCACAAAACGGGGCCAAAACCTTGGTAAAACCAATGATTTTGGCTTCCTCGCCGAGGCCGTTTTGGACGCTCCGACGACTCGCGGATCCCCCTGTCCAGGTCCAGGGGAGGGGGTAGGGGGATGGGTCAAGACACCCCCCCCGCCCGCAAGGCGTCTCGCTCACTCCCACCCGCCCTCCCAACACATACGTAGCACCCGAGTCTGGCCCGAGCCTCAGCATATTCAGCAGTCGTCTTTGGATGGGTAGCTACTGGGGGCCAATCCGCTGCCGCCACCGCCGCCTC